TTATTGGTCATGCTAAATTAATCTTAGCCTACAGTATAGAATGCATGTTCTTGTGCCTCAGAAATGTATTTGTTCATTTTTAGGTGTTTCAAGGAATAAATTACTTTGCTGCATAATGCAACATAATTCCACGCCTCATTGTGTTCTTTATACTGATTGAACTCGTCTGCTAAGAGAGAAGTTTGGAAAGTTAACAGCTTAAATCTCCAAACCCAGTGAATTTATATTACCTATCAAACAAACATGGTGTGACCTACAGGACTGACTAGGGAAAACTTGGGCCAATTGCTGGAAATAAATAACTAATATTTTAATTTCTCTAAGTCTCCATCATTAAGGAATAAAATGATTCCTATTTTTCACTTGAGCTAACAGTTTGTTTTATATACATATATTTATTGATTTCAGAAAGGAAGGAGAGGGAGAGATAGAAACATCAATGATGAGAGAGAATTATTGATCGGCTGCCTCCTGCACACACCACACTGGGGATTGAGCCCACAACCCGGGCATGTGCCCTGACCGGGAATCAAACCATGACCTCCTGGTTCATAGGTCGATGCTCAACCGCTGAGCCATACTGGCCAGACATGATTTAACAGTTTTAAAGTGGGATAATATAAAAACATTTTCTTACAAATTTTGAAATTATATTGGCACACCTCATGGTTTATGTCCTATAATGTATAATGTAGCTAGTGTTAGAAGCTTCCATTATTCCTCAATAAAATAGTGAACTATAACTAATTATCAATATTTACAAAAATAGGAGTATTATTTCTATAGAGAATTTATGATGAGCTGAGTTTTGTGGGAAAACAAGCAGAACAAGCTGAAAGCTAAGGTGATGTTATTTTGTCAGCTAATGCAGATGAATCTGCCCCTAATAAAGCCAGGGGTTTACTGCAAAGTGTCTTTGCAGAGAAAAGCTGATTATGATGTAAATGATGTGACTTCAGCTCATAGAGGAAGTGCAGAGAAATGGAATCTTTACATCATCTCCACACTAGTTTGGACATTCATCTCTACCTTTTTCCAAAATAAATATTGCACCGCATCTATTGCTTTGTAACTTTAGAATATAAATCTAATGGTAAAAGAGCCACTGGATTTAATTTTTTTTTAGAATTGGCGAGTCATTCCATCATTTGTTCCCAAAATAATTATTGAGCATCTACTACATGTGCTACAGGGTTAGACCTTTGATGAGACCCTCACAGCCTGAGCCAGAACAGAGGTGACAGCTCAGCTGTTTTGAGTTTGCATATTTCTCTATCCAAGGCTGATGGTCATCCCAGTCTCCTTTGACTAACATCTGCCTCTGTACTTGAGGTGTGGTCTGAGGCTGTAGCACAGAATTTTCTTTTTTAGAAGACACCTCATTGGGGATGGCCAAGCTCCAATGCCCTCCGATTGAAACTCGCCCCACCAGTGCTTTCCCATGCCACCAGCATCTCTAGCTCCACAAACAAATGACAGAATAGGATCAACCTGGGCAACTTGGGATCCAAGTACCACAGTTTGGGCTTCATTTTCTCAAATTGGTTTGCACATCAGGAGGAGGTGCTAGTATTCTGGGGAAAACTAAAACACCTTTTCACTCCATCTCTTTTCATTCCATCCCCTTTCATTCCAGCCAGGCCATGCCTTCTTCCCCCACTGCTCTGCTGCCTGGTGTGATGAGTAGGACACACATTTCTGAGAGAGGATAGAAGCACTGTTTTCTGTCTCTGCTATCTCAAACATATAATGTAGCATTCCATATTTTTACAGCTTTAATGAGGCATAATTGGCATAAAATAAAATGCATGTTTTAAAAACATTCAGTTTGATACGTTTGGGCATATGTGTGTATCTGTAAAACCATTATCACAGTCCAAGTCAATAACCTCCAAAACGATTCTTTACATCCATTTGGTACTTAGCATTCTAAGCCCCAGATTCATCTGTAAAACCAGTATGAACATAGCAACCTTATAATGTAATCACAGAACTAGCTCAAAATGGTCCTATCCTGTTTCTAACAGGATACTGAGTTGCTTTTCAGAGACAACAGATCAAAATAGACCAAGTCATGCAACCAAAGCACATGCCGAGGAAAGATCTTTGACTTTTAGTTCTACCTGGAACCAAAATCTTGTCCCCCAACTCCCACTGATCCAAAGGACCCAGACATAATAGGAACTTAAACACCAGAACCTCTTTCAGAGGCAAAGAGTGAAGAGTCCATTGTCCAGGAAGATCTGGTGCTGAGGGCCATTATAAATGGCCAAGCTCCAATGCCCTCCTATTAAAACTCGGCCACCAGTGCTTTCCCATACCTGTTCTCCCCTAACCCTTTAAAAACCCATCTCAAATTGGATAGGAAAGGCAGATTTGAGCTTTCTTCTTGTCTTCCCATTGAGCTGCCTCTTGAAATAAACTTTTTCCTTGTTTCATACTCAGTGCTTTAGTGATTGGTCTTACTGTGCATCATGCTTTAATGGGGAAAAAGGGGGAACATCTGTAATACTTTCAACAATGAAGATAAATTTTAAAAACTTGGGTTCAATTACAATAATGCAGTAAAAGTTTACAAAATACAGGTAAAGATTATACTATGTAGCAGGAGATAAGTCTGTACTAGATGATTACACACACTTTGCATTTAGTGAATATTCATGAGCAATCAAGGTCTAACTGATTCTACCATTTTATGCTTCCATTTTTACCCCAATAAGTCAAATCTTTTCTCAAGCTTACAACCAGAAATAGAAGATTCCTATGTAAGCTCTACACAACTTTGCTGAGTTATCTGTAGAAGAGAGAGAGCTGGGCATTCTGAACTATCCAGGGAATGATGGTAACTACAGATATAAGCCCTAGTGTTTCTGACAGCTGAGCAAACATTTGTGCCTGCATGTGGAAAGGAGGGGGTGAATGAAGGGCATAGATATCACTGTGTGAAGGGAATTTGACCTTTCCTCAACAGCTGACACCAGGGGATGAGGATTCACAAAATTATGTCAGTAAGGAAACCGCTATCTGATTGAATAAGATAGCAGAGAGGAAAACTTAGCTCCCAGGAGGAAACTGGTTACCTGACTGAGTCCACATGGAATTAGTTGGGGTTCAACAATGCAGATGTTCTCTGCTTCGCTGCGGTCTCAGGAAGCCCTATTCTTGCAGCAATCTTCCTGCAACGGGCCTCTAGTTTAATTTATAAGGAAAATCTCCATTTGTAAGGGTGTCTTTCTCTCTGTACCTGGAAGAAAAGAATGACTAAATTTCTAGGAACTGTTATCCATTGAGAAGGCAAGGACTTAAATATAACGACCATACTCTTGGTTACTGTACTTTTCCTGGTAGCCTCCAATAACTGACTGCCTACTCTAACATCTTTTGTCTTTGCTTGGAGATGGTATATGAGGTAGTGGCTTGGGCCATTTCAGGAATTAGTCAGTTTTCCTGAATCTCGCCCATATGTACAGGAGGTATACATGTTATTAAACTTCTGTTTGTTTTTTCCTGGTAATCTGTTTGTTTGTTTTTATTACAGTCCAGAACATAGAATGGAGGAGGGAAAGCTATTTCCTCCCCCACAAAACTATCTTAAGGAATCCTCTTTAGTGTTTGAAAAGGAATAGATGGGATTAGATCACATTTTACAAAGTTGGAAGGAAATCCATGTCTGACTGTGAACCATTCTCTAATTTATTTTAAAACCGCCAGTTAGTTGGTTGGGTCATTTTGAATTGAATCTTGCTCATTTTCTAGCTGTTAAAATGTACAAGTTTCAATAATATTCAAGCACCAAATGATTCAAAGCAATACAAGGTTGTCAAAGTAGAATTTGGGGGGAAAGCACAGTATGTTAATAAATGATTCACACCCTCAACACCTCAAAACACACGGGCCTATAAAATATTTTAATGTATTGTTTTCTGGCTTTGGATATCACATTTTTAGCATTGCCTATCTTTATTGTGCTTTTTAAAGACAGTATGTATATTGGAGATAGAGCTGTAACTATTTTTTAAAGTTTTGAAAACAGATGTGGTATTAGATTTAACCATACGAAATTGCCACTTCCCAGGTCAAAATCATTCAAATATAGGTGATGTTTATGGTTCATCCTACTTTGGAATTTCTCTCTCTCTCTCTCTCTCACACACACACACACACACACACACACACACACACACACTTACAAAGCAATTGGACCATTTATTGGCATTGAAAAAGCATTCCTTTAAACAAGGGATGGGATACTGAGCACTGAAAATCTCACCCCATTTTGTGAAATCTTAAGACCAAATTCTCCATGGTCATACACAGCTTAATCACCAACAGGAACAAGAATTTAAGTTTAATTAATTGAATCAAACTGCTCTGCTATGAGATAATAAGGGGAAAGTGGGGGTGGGGTGGGTCTGGGTGCAAAGTTCTTGCTTTCACACTACAATGTTAAAGGTACAAGAATCTAACAATTCCCAGTGCAGCACAAAACTGCTTCCCATTGTTTCAAGGCAGTCATTTATCAATAGTCCAAATGCTAAGAAATTTTCATGGAAAACAGGGGCACACCCTTTGGCTGTGAGTTGAGGAGTCAAGTTCTTAAGAACCAAGGACTGGCCCATCCTGTGTGGTTCAGTGGTTGAGCCTTGACCTGTGAACCAGCAGGTCATAGTTCTATTCCTGTCAGGGCACATGACAGTTCTGGGCTCATCCCTAGTAGGGGGCGTGCAGGAGGCAGCCAATCAATGATTCTCTCTCACCATTGATGCTTCTATCTCTCTCTTCCTCTCTGAAATCAATAAAAATATATTTTAAAAAAGAAAAGAAAGAACCAAGGACTGGCTGATCACTCCTAGGGGAAAGCGCCTTCACAGAATCTCCAGCATCTGGTCTCAGCTTCCCAATCTATAAAATGCAGCAGTGGTGGTGGTGGTGGTGTGTGTGTGTGTGTGTGTGTGTGTGTGTGCAGGGGGCGGGGGTGTTTGAGGAGGATGGAAAGACAGCTAGGCTTCCAGATCAAAATCATCACGCTCCTCATTGTTTGATCTTGGACAGTCAACCCAGGTGGCCAAGTCCTCCACGCTGCATGTGACAAGGAAGGTGGGGTCGTTGACTAATGGCACATGGCCCTGCTCCTGGAAGGCCAGGGCAACCTGGAGGTGCTGCTCCATGCGCAGCTTAAGGAGCACAGTGGGCAGGTGGCAGTGGCTAAAGGACGAGGCCCTGACGACATCTCAGAGTTCTAGCGAGCAAGCTGTGCGTAAGCACCAGGCCAAGATCATACAGCTTGTCCAGCAGCGTGGCCAAGGCACGCGTGTGAAACAGGTTGCACTTGGGCAGGTCGTGCAGGAGCCAGGCCAGCTTGTGCACAGAACGGCTCAACTGATTGTAGCACGTGTAGTCCTTGTGCTGCTGCAACTGATAGGACCACAACATGTGAAGTTTGTGCAGGTTTTGGTCAGTGACCTGCCAGTTCAGGAAGTCCACCTGCTTCAACAGCTTCTGCTTGTGTAAATTAAGCTTCTGCACCAGGATGGTGGCTGCCAGCTGCCTAGGACTCAAGGCTCTACTTTAGAATTTATTAAGAGGATCTCAGGACAGAGTCTACTTCTAGAAAAGCAGTTTGTACATATTGGTTTGTTTTTTTTAAAGAATCTCTGTTGATTATTTTTTTAAAGGCATGTGAGCAAGCCCAGTGGTATTTACACTCATTTACAGCTGTGCAACAGTTCTTATATTAATTTTTTTAAGCTACTAAAATAATATTTGCTGATGTTTGTTTTTTCCATAATTTTTAAAAGGTGTTATCTGGAGAAAAAGGAACACTTGTGCACTGCTGGTGGGAATGCAGACTAGTGCAGCCACTATGGAAGACAGTATGGAGTTTCCTCAAAAAGCTGGAAATGGAACTCCCATTTGACCCTGTGATCCCACTTCTAGGAATATATCCCAAGAAACCAGAAACACCAATCAGAAAGGATATGTGCACCCATATGTTCATAGCAGCACAATTCACCATAGCTAAGATCTGGAAACAGCCTAAGTGCCCATCAGTAGATGAATGGATTAGAAAACTGTGGTACATCTACACGATGGAATACTATGCTGCTGTAAAAAAGAAGGAACTCTTACAATTTGCAACGGCATGGATGGAGCTGGAGAGCATTATGCTAAGTGAAACAAGCCAGTCAATGAAGGAAAAATACCACATGATCTCACTCATTCATGGATAATAAAGACCATTACAAACTTTTGAACAATAATAGATACAGAGGCAGAGCTGCCTCAAACTGATTGTCAAACTGCAGTGGGAAGGCCAGAGAGGGTTGGGGGGCAGAAGGGAGGGGAGTAAGAGATCAACCGAAGGACTTGTATGCATGCATATAAGCATAACCAATGGACATAAAACACTGGGGGGTAGGGGAGGCCAGGAGATTGTCAAGGGCGGGGGAAAAA